CTAGGATTATGCTTAAGAAATTATAAGGCTAGCTGAGTGCGGTGGTGTGTGCCTGTAATCCCAGTACTTGGGGAGGCAGAGGCAGGCCAATCTCTGTGACTATGTGGCCAGCCTGGTCTACAAAGCGAGTCTAGGACAGCCAAGGCTACACAGAAAAACCCTGTCTTGAAAAACCAAACCCTACCCCCCCACACAAATAAAAGAAAAAGAAATTATAAGGTGATAATTAGGGGACTGGAGATATGGGTCAGCAATGAGAGCACTTTCTACTCTTCCAGAAGATCTGAGTTCAGATTCCAGCACCCATGAACAGCTGGCTGCCCATGGCTGCCTGGGACTTCAGCTCTAGAAGAGGCAACACCCACTTCTGGCTTCCAAGGGTACCTCCACCCACACACAAAACACACACACACACACACAAAACACACATATCTAAAATGAGGCTGTGTGTGGTTGGATTAAAGAGCCCCTTTAATCTTGGCACTGGGAGGCAGGGGCTGGGGGATCTCTGTGAGTTTAATGCCAGTCTCACCTACCTGGTGATAAAAAGCGATGACTAGCAGAGAGTGGGTAGGCATGACTGCAAACCTGGTGACATCTTGAACCCCTTGTGATACACAGAAATGGAAGCTGCTTTTCTTTCTTTCCTTTACCCCCTTATCATATCCCCCTTCTGTCCTTTTCCCTTTCTAATGACAAGTGGTTGCTGTTCACAGACATCTTGCGAGTTTATTTGTTTGGGGCTTTTTGTCTTGTTTTGTTTTTCGAGACAGGGTTTCTCTGTGTACCTGTCCTGAAACTCACTTTGTAGACCAGGCTGGCCTCAAACTCACAGAGATCCACCTGCTTCTGCTTCCCGAGTGCTGGGATTAAAAGTTTGCACCACCAACACCCAGCATCTTGTGGGATTTAAAGCATGGGAGAAAAAGTACCCAAGAAGCACAGATTTCTCCCAAGAGAGTCACATAAAAGAGAGAGAGAGAGCTTAAAAAAACTCACCTCTCTAAGCAGACAGTCTCACATCCTCTATTAAAATAAACCCAATGTCATCCTGAGAGCATGGTTAACACATCAGAGCACAGACTGTGGTCTCTGGGTTCTTTTTTTTCTTTTTTTTATGTCTTCTGCTTTCTTTCAGGTTGTCTAGAATCTTAGTTGCTCCTGCTACTCTGGTATAAACAGGATTCAAGACAACTGTCCACACTGAAGAGGAGTCAGAGGACAGAGAGCACAGCCAGGACCACAGTGTGACCTGGTGTAGGGGATGAGCAGCAGTCCTGCCAGCATCGCTCCCTAGGAAACTAGACAAGTCTAGAAAAGCAGAAGCAGCCTGAATGCCAAGGCTGAACTGTTTTTGGAACTCTTTACCTGGAGGGACTTAAATGCCTACCCCCTTCCTTGTATAATGCACTGATGCCAAACCAAAGAATGATTCTGTCAAGGGCCAACTTGGGGGAACCAATGAGATTTGGGCTTGCTTACAGATCATGAGTGAGGGGTTACTGACGGAACAGTGGGTGAACCAAAGACTTTGCCACACTGCAAAGTCTTACCCTAGCATGGACGGTAAATTCCCACAGCACAGATGGTCTTCTACTGTCTGTACACTCTCCTGAGACCACACAGCCACATGCCCCTAGGCCAGAACTGCACACAGCTACCTGGGAGGTGCAGAGCAGAGCAGCTGGAGTCTCAGAGGAGGGTTCAATGACTCTCCCCACCCACTCCTACGGTGAGGGAATGTCAGCAGCCGCCCCCCACTCCATGTACTCCCCTCAAATTCATGGCTTCTTGTATTTTTCTGTTGACATCATTTTTTTAAAGTGTTTTATTTTTAGTTATGTGTACTGTGTGTGTCAATGGGTGGACCTTTCCAGCATGGCTGCTGCATTCCTGGTAGTGTAGCTCAGGGACCAGAAGCATGTGGAGTGGAGGCTGCCTGAAGCTCCAGAGTCTTAGTCTCAGACTTGGCCTAGGACTCTTGTTACTTTAGTAGCCAAGGCATGTTGTGGCCCAGCCCTGGGGCAATGGCATCTGGGAAGATTACACCTAGGCTAACATGCCATAACTGTTTGTTCAGGGGAATGAGTGGGAAGGATTACCTGAGCTTCCATTTCACTTACCCTTGGGCAGCAAAACATCCAGATTTGCATGTGAAACCTCTCCTTTTTAAAAATTATTTTTTAGTTGTGTGTATATGTCTCTGTGTGGGTTTGTATACCCGAACACAGTGCCCTCAAAAGCCAGAAGGAACTGGATTTATGAGTGTTTGTGAGCCACCCTATATGGGTACTGGGAACCTAATTCACATCCTCTAAAAGAGCAGTATGTACTTTGTTTGTTTTTGGTTTTTTGAGACAGGGGTTTTCTGTGTAACAGAGCCTGGCTGTCCTGGATTCACTTTGTAGACCAGGCTAGCCTCAAACTCACAGAGATCCATCTCCCTCTGTCTCCCAAGTGCTGGGATTAAAAGTCTGTGCCACCCCTGCCTGGTTAAGCCTCTTCATTTTGAATCACTGGTTCACTTCCAGCTGGTAACAACGCTTCCAAGACATGGCCAACAAAGCATACAACTTTCCTACTTAAAGTGAACAAAAAGTTTGTTTTATCACTTTTATTTTATCTATAGAGCCATATGGCAAACTTTAAGACATGCCTCTGAGCAGGGTGTCCATAGAGCCATACAAAGTGAATCCAGGACAGCCAAGGCTATGCAGAGAAACCTGTCTCAAAACGACAACAACAACAAAAAGACATGCCACTGGGAACCCTTGACTTCTGTGCGCTGCCATTTGTCTCTCAAATATTTCAAATAAATGGGATCTTGCTGAGGGCTGTAAGGTGGCTCAGCCATTAAGACTATTTGCTACTCTTCCACAGAAACTAACTTCAGCTCCCAAGACCCACATCAATGGCTCACAACTACCCGTAACTCCAGCTTCAAGGGCTCTGATGTCCTCTTCTTGCTTCTGAGAACACTACACAAATGCATGTATGAGAGCGAACAGGTGTGTGTAGGCATATATATATATATATATATATATATATATATATACACACACACACACACACACAAAGTAATTAAGATAACCATTTTTGTTGTTGTTTTCTGAGACAAAGTTTCTCTGTGTAGCCTTGGCTGTCCTGGACTCACTTTGTAGACCAGGCTATCCTTAAACTCACAGAGATCCGCCTGCCTCTACTTCCCTGAGTGCTGGGATTACAGGCATGTGCCACCGCACCTGGATAATAACCAAATATATATATTTTTTTAAAAATAGAATTTGTGTAATTTGTTCTAGTTTGATTTCTGGTGTTGTGACTGACCAAAGGCAATTTGAGAAGGAAAGAGTTTCTTTCAGATTATAATTCATCTTCGAGAGAAGTCAGGATAGGAACTCAAGAAAAGAAATTGGAGACAGGAACCTGAAGTAGAAGCCATGGAGGAACGCTGCTTATTTGCTTAGCTACTTTCATTATACAACCCTGGATCACCTGTACAGGGATGGCATCACCCACAGTGGGCTGGGCTCCTTCACATTAATCCCCGATCAAGAAAATGCCCCCAACAGACTTCCCCACAGGCCAATCTGTTGAGGGAATTCTTCAGCTGAGGTTTTCTCTTCCCATGTGTGTCAAATTGACAACTGAAGCTAATACGCCATTGGGTCACTCACTACCACTACCGCCTCCAACAGTGTGACCACGCTAGAACATTCTGCATGCTGGGTTTGTCTCCATCCTCAAAAGTATCACCTTCAAGGACCTCAGTGCACTGCCTAAAATTCCTCCACACACACACTCATCTCTAAGGCCCCTCTAATGCATTCTTTCTCTTAGCTTGTTTGCATTTCCCTGAGGAGACTGTCCCACTGGATTAGTTTAGTACCATTCAAAATGCACATCTCCATTGGGTAATGAGACACCAGCTCAGTCAATCCAAAAGGTGTTATTATTATCATTCCACTAAAGACTACAAGTGTGTCACATTTAGCAGTCCTTCCTTTCTTCCCTCCCTTCTTTTCTTTCTTTTGCCTGTGTGTGTATGCATGGACACATATGCAGGACCCCCCCCCCCCCCACCAGATAGAACTCAGGCTACCACCAGGCTTGCCTACAAGCACCTTTACTTGGTGAGCCATCTCGCTGGCTCAGGCTTAGCAGTCTTTTAACAAACACTCCAAGACTCAGCCTCGCAGCAGGACTAAGAATCAATTATACGCCTTTAAAAAAAAAAGTACTTATTTTAGTTTTTTTTAAGACACGGTCTCACTATGTAGCCGTGATGGAACTCACTATGTACACCAGACTGGCTTAGAACTCAAGAGATCCACCTGTCTCTGCCTCTCAAAAGCTGGGCTTAAAGGAGTGCACAGCTAGAGATTTATTTAGTTTTATTTTATGTGTATGCATGTTTTGTTTTCATGGAGGTCTGTCCTCCATGTGTGTGCAGTGCCCATGGAGGTCAGAAAAGGCCGTCAGATCCCCTGAAACTGGAGTTAAAGGTAGTTGGGAGTCAACAAAGGGGTGCTAGTAATCAAACTCAAAACCTCTGGAAGTGCCGCCAGTACTCTTAACTGTAGAGTTATCTCTCCAGCTCTTAAAATAGAAATACATACATACATACGTACTTAATGAAAGTTATTTTTATTTATTTTAAAGAGTCAGAAAAGAGAAAGAAGAAAAGGAGAGGACGCCAATACTGTCTGAGGAATAGTTAGATATGACTCCGGATCCGGAGAAGCCAAGAGGGGAGAGTTAGACCCGGTGACTTGGATTAGGACACCACGCTTGGGGCCGGAACCTGGGAGCAAAGAGCTAGAGTTTCCCCGTGGAAACTTCAGCAATCGGAACCACAATACCTCCAGGCATCTCAACAACAATCATCTGTCAAGTGAAATGCCCGCTTCGCCCGATTTCCGGGGCGGAACCGGAAGTTCCCGTTTGCCCAATAGAAAGGCGGTTGGGGACTGATTCTCGCGAGAGTTCGGCTACCCGGCCTTCAGGAGCCGGCCATGGAGGGCGAGCAGGAACCGCTGCTGGGTTCGCGGCGTTCGGCTGCAGCGGCTGGGGCGTTTGCGGGGCGGCGCGCGGCGTGCGGGGCAGTGCTGTTGGCCGAGCTGCTGGAGCGCGCGGCCTTCTACGGCGTCACGGCCAACCTGGTGCTGTTCCTGAATGGCGCGCCGTTCAACTGGGAGGGCGCTCAGGCCAGCCAGGCGCTGCTGCTCTTCATGGGCCTCACCTACCTGGGCTCGCCGTTCGGGGGCTGGCTCGCCGACGCACGCCTCGGCCGGGCGCGCGCCATCCTGCTCAGCCTGGCGCTCTACCTGCTGGGCATGCTGGCCTTCCCGCTGCTAGCCGCGCCCCGCTCGCGCTCTTTTCTCTGCGGGGACCCGCGTCCGGAGCTCGTGCGCAACTGCTCGGCTCCCTTCCCCAATGGAACGGCCGTGTGTCCCGATGCCGCCGCGCGCCGCTGCGCCCCCGCCACTTTCGCGGGGCTGGTGCTCGTGGGACTCGGTGTGGCCACGGTCAAGGCCAACATCACGCCCTTTGGCGCGGACCAGGTGAGCCGGACCCGCCCATGTCCTTCCTGGTTTTTTGCGCTTGCACCTGGTTGGTGATGCTAAGGACACGGGAACCGTCCCGATGCCCTGCATACCTGCACCTGTCCACAGGTGCACTGATGGAAAGAAGGAGTCACCGCACACACTTAAACCACCACTCCCACTTGACTGTGCACCCATGCATGGCTGATGGGAAAGCAGAGAGCTGTCCACCTGCACCTCATATCGCCTCACATCTAGAGAAAGATTTAAGGCGAAGGAGAGGAGCTTCCTTGTAGGGAAGAGGCCACCTGCCTCTGATTCCCCTTAGTTCGTGAAGGGGAGGAAGGAGACTTGTCCTGAGATGACTTCCTTGGGGGGAGGGGGGACCCATCTGTCCCAGCACCTACTGAGTGGGAGATGAGTGGAACCCAAACCACACCTTGCATGAGGTTCATGACTGATAGAGGGAGCTCCCCACCCCTTCCAGCGAGTACCTTGTATCCACATCTGCCTTCTGCATCTGGTAGGGGACTGAAGGAGGGGAGGGAACCACATCCACCTTCTGCTCTGGGGGAACTTTCAGTATGGGTGGATGCAGTTGAATAGCCAAGAGAAAGCTGTACAAGCAGGTGTGATCTGGTTGGTCTAGAAGAGCTGCATCCTCAGTGAGGTAGGATTTATTCATGGTGGTTTTAAGTAGAAGGATGTTCTATTGGTGGAATCATTTGAGTTGAGAGCTGAAAGAAAAGATTGAAGTTGTGATTTGGAGGCTAGATAATGTAGAAGGGTTCTATCACTGCCTTGGCTTCCCTTCCACAAAAGTACAATCAAGCATTTATTTTCCATTTTCATTGTTTTAAGTTTCAGGGTGGGGTGGGTAGGAGAGTCCTTCATGGCGCTGCTGCTGTGACCACCAAGAACAGAAGATGAGGGAGGAGTCAGAGTTTGGGAGAGCAGAAGTAATCTGCAAGTGCCCTGGTGCCACAATCTGCTCTGCTTCCCTTTTTTAGGGGACTCCCATGCTAAGAATGGTTCTAGTGGTCAAATGCAAATAGAGTATTTTGTAAGCAGTGGAAATTATGTGGGGTTTGAGTGTTAGGCTTTCTGGATAAAGCTTTTTAAGGTCCTGTTCTTTCCTGCTTACTCATCCCCCCTGCTTCCCCTGGACTTGTAAAATTGAGTAGTCACAGAGGTCAGAGTCTCCTGAAACCTAACATATGTCCCATTTCAGAAGGATTGCAATGGCTGCCATAGAGAGTGGGTTGTGTGGCAGGTTGGTGAGAGCACAGCTCAGGTTTCAACTTGTCTGAGAAGAGAGGCGAGACCTAGAGTGGAGGTAATGACCTGGGGTGATGGGGCATGAATTCAGGTGTAGGAGGAAGGCAGTAGGGTTATTTTTGAGCATCAGAAAAGGTGAGCCCTGGGTCTTACCATTAAACTGATCCTTGAGTGCCTGAAATTGTTTGCTCAGAGATAGCACCCTCAATGTAGGACAGCATTGTTCAGAAGCCTTCTTTATTTGGTGTGTATAAGGCTGGCCAATTCACTGAGAACACAGGAGTAGTGGTGATCTCAGTAGTCAAGAGTTGGAGGCAGGATTGCCACAAGTTTAGGTCCAGCTTTGATTACATAGTTCTAGGCTATTATGAACTACAAAGCAAGACCGTGGGTCATAAAAGTAAAATATAAACAAAAGTAGTTGCTACTTTACAGTTATGAAAGGTGCTTCTCACACAAGGGGCAGTGGCCTTGGCCTCTGTTCCACTAGTGCCGTCTGAAGACACAGGGCTGAAAGCGTCATCTTTACGCCTAGGTGCTGTGGTTTGGATGAATTGGCCCTCATAAGCCACATGTATTGATGACTGGGGAGAATTGGGAGGTGTGACTTTGTTGGAAGAAGTATGGGGGTAGGGAGACTGGGCTTCATTTGAGTTAGAGCTGCTGCTCTAATCAGCACATCTGCCCTGCCATAACGTACTCTTACTCCTCTAGGACAGTAAGTCCAAAATAAACCCTTCCTTCTAAGATTCCTTGGCCATGTGCTTAGCACAGCAACAGGAGAGTACGCAACACACTGGGCCATACCAGAAAAGGCGTAGTTAGGACTGTGCATCCCCAAGTTTGAGCTTCATGATGTATACAGGATTCCTTAGACTTTCCATTCACAGCCTCTTTTCACCTGAGAACTTATTATGTGACTATAAAATAGATGTTCAAATGAAACATTAAGTGATGTCAGCCAAGTCATAAATTTATTTTAAAATAGTTCCTTACCATTTATTAAAGATAAAACCTAATTTGCATAGTAATGAGATGGATGTTTATGGAACTTGATATAGTTCAAAGACTATCTTTGAAAGCTGTGATCTGATGGCTGATAGGGAAATATTCAAAGTCTTGGCAGAAAAACATTGTCTGTGCAGTGGAAACAGTGCAGCTTATAAGCATGGAGTAGCCTCAAATCAAGCCAGCGTGTGCCAGGAAGTGTTAGCTTCATAAGGCATGTCATTGTGTGAAATACAGGTCATGCTTGTGCGGAATCAAGACTGCCAGGAACATCTTGGGTCCATTGCTCATTTGATTCCGAATTAAGTTTTGGTCCTTGTTCATTCATTAGCCTGTCACTGTTGCCAAGTATTACACACATACACATAGTTTGAGAAGCTTTGGTGGTAGTATTCGTGGGGTGAATGACTGACTGTCAGGGCCGAGCTTCTTAGCAGGTGTTGGGGGAACAGATTGAATACAGTGTTGTCTTAGAGTCAGTGCTCTCCAGTAGATACTAGATTGATGATTAGCACTCCTCACGGACCTGTTGACCAGCTCCTGTGAGGGTCACTGAGTGGATCCAGTGTACACACTTCATTGTAGCTAATAGGTGCCCTTCTGAAAAGTGATTAGTGTTTGCAGTATCCTCACACTTAACACCATCAGAAGAGACCTTTCTGGTTGTCTGGATCCCAGAGGAACTTAACAGCCACTTTGTGTGTGGTCAGTGATTGGCGCTCTGGTGGTTTTGTTTTCTTATCTATCTATCTATCTATCTATCTATCTATCTATCTATCTATTTATTTATTTATTTATATTTACTATGTAAGAAATATTCTGTTTGCATGTACACCTGCAGGCCAGAAGAAGGCACCAGATCTCATTATAGATGGTTGTGAATCACCATTTGGTTGCTGGGAATTGGACTCAGGCCCTCTGGAAGAGCAACCAGTGCTCTTAAACTCTGAGTGATCTTTCCAGCCCCCTTTTTGTTTTATTTTTGTTATATGGCCTCTAATTCACTAGATGAAGATGACTGAACTCCTGGTACTCTGCCCTCTGCCAGAGTCCTGTCCATTTTATTATTTTGATCTGGGGTTTTCTGTATAGCCCATACCGGGTCAGTCCTTCCAGCCTGCCTTAGCCTCTGAATGCTGCTGTGAGAAGTGTGTGCCACCATGCCAGGCTTCCATTGATTTTTGTTTTGGTTAGTTTTTTTGAGATCTGTTCTTACTCTGTAACCAAGTAGGCCTGGAATTCCATCTGTGGCCTAGGCTGCCATCAAACTCATGGTAATCCTCTTCTGCCTCCTGAGTGCTGGGCGTAGGGGTGTGTGTAATGCATCCATTTGTCTCTTAAAGCCCTTGTTTTGGGTGCTTGATATCCTTGGACTGTGGCCTGCACATTAGACAATGGGGTTGATGTTCTTAGGTATGACGGTACCTTTGTGACTGTATAGAAGAGTTGTGTTTTTAGGAGATTCAGTCAAAAAAGGGTGTGTGTGTTCATGGCCATGGTTGTGCGTACTGAGGTCAGAACAACCTACAAGAGTGAGTTCTCTCCTATCATTCAGATTCTGAAGATGGAGTTTAGGTTTTCAAACTTGCTGAGAATACCATTACCTGCTGAGCCATCTTATTTTGTGCTGGCCCAGGATGTTATGTTTCTAATGGGGAAAAAAATAGAGCTAAAGATATAAGAGAAGGGTACATCCTACTTTTTTTTTTCCCCTTCACCTTTTCTTGAATTTAGAAATGTGTAAGTTAAAAGTAAGGTGGAGACCCTCTACTGATGAACAGCTGAGCTTAGTGTAGTCTGTTTGTTCATCTGTAAACATGCTGTTCATCCACAGCAGAAATGTTAGTTTCCCATGAGTGCAGGAGATGAAGAATGCTGACATATCCAGTGAGCAGATACACATGCAGGGTAGTGGTGGTTTTACAACTCTAATATATAAGAGACAGTTGGCCACACTTAGGTTCATTTTGTGGCACGTAAATTATAGCTTTAGCAGGTAGCTAGGATCCGTATGGAGGCACTTGCTCTCTGCTGCCTCATGACTGCTCCTTGAGGGAGATTTCAAGACCTCCCTTGTTCTTAGTTCCTAACATGTCAGCTGCTTTGCAGAAGCCAAATGCCTGGAAGGGTGCTGTGGTGCTGTTTTCCGCCTGGGCTCAGTTCTTGCCGTCCTTTCCCTGTTAGAGGTGTGTGCTACTGTCTTTACTGTCTTTAAGGTGCTTCTGCTTCTCTGGCTAGTGCTGCCTCTTGTCTCTGGATAGAGTCCCAGAGTGGCTTTCTCATGTGGGAGATGGGTCTGGTTTTCTCTGTGAGGAGGAGTACCAGGTCACTTTACAGTGAATGTAGAAGCTGTAAGTTACTCTCAGAGGTGGTTCATTTTAAGGCATAAGTCAGCTGCCCTTTACCTTTTGCAGTGCTTACCAATTGCCAAAGGTCATTAACTTTTTTTGTTTTTTTAAGACAGGATTTCTCTGTGTAACCTTGGCTGTCCTGGACTCACTTTGTAGACCAGGCTAGCCTCAAACTCACAGAGATCCACCTGTCTCTGCCTCCTGAGTTGTTGGGATTACAGGCATGCACCACTGCACCTGGCTAGGTCATGATCATTCTTGGTGGTTATTCAAAATAGTGAGCTGAGTGCTAGGTGCTTGCCTATGTTTTCAGTACTTGGAAGGCAGGGGTAGGATGGTTCAGAGTTCAAAGCCAGCCTCAGCTACATAGGAAGTTGGTGCCCAGCATGGGTTACTTGAGACCCTAAACCAAAAAGCATTGAAAACAAAACTAAAAATAGCTGAAAGAGGAAGAAGCTACCATGCATGTAGAGCAGACAATATTGATTGCCTCATGGTTCGGTTTAGTTTGGATTCCTACTCCTCTCTAGACTGTAGGCATTCTTTTGCTTCAGCAGAGATTCTGAGTGCTGGGATGATGCTTCAGCATTGGTCAGGACACCCAGGATGGTGTTTGTCCCAGTGGAGAGAGGTCATGCTCCTGTATATCTGATAGCATAACCCTGTTTAAATCCATACTCCTTTCTGTCCTTCTGGTTTCTTCCCCATTTGTCTTTGGTGTTTTCATGGGGGTTGGCAGGGGCGTATGGAGAGCTTGATCAGCCTTGGCAGGGCCTGTGGTGATGTCATGGGACTGGTACATGGGGAAGCTGTGGCTTTTGGCCAAGGGCAGACAGAGGCATGTGACAGCCTAGTTAGACGCAGTTCCCTTTGTGTGCTGATGGCTAGTGTATGGCTACCGAGGCCCTAGGAGTGGGCCTCTGTTTATGAAGCAGCTGTGGCTGGTAACCCTTGGATAGTGCAGTCAGTTGACCACCAAATTTACAAATGACATTAGGACTAAAGGTTAGGGTTCTGCCAGGCCAACTGAACAAGTATTTCCTTACTGGTTTAGAGGATGAGCTGTTTCTATGAATGTAGGTAAGATATGTGTATGGTCCTACTATGTGTAATGGGAAGGGCCTAGGACATTCATTTCTGTTAGAATCTAATGTTTCCTGTCATACACTGAACATTGTGGTTCATGTCTGTAGTTCCAGCTGCTCGAGAGGTTGAAGCAGGGGGATCATGTAAGTATAGGAGTTTGGAGCCAGCCTGGCCTCTTCCCTTTCAGGGTTGTCAAAACAATGACATGTATATGTGTACACAGTATTTACACATAACAAAGTGTAAAGAGTAAAGTGTGTGTGTGTGTGTGTGTGTGTGTGTGTGTGTGTGTGTGTGTGTG